CCTTTTCACCTGTCATCTTCCTGAGTTCTTCCAAATCTCTACCACTTTTCCATGAAGTTTTCCCTGTTTTTCACGAAAAAAAATGGTGAGGAAAGAGAGGAGGTGGTCATCACTCATCTAGTGTGGTCACTATCAAAACAGTAGTTGTTACAGCAGTTTTCCCTCGTGGTATGAACAATTCTCTCGAAATCTCTCGAATACGACTCCCCGTACACAGCGACCCCCTCACCCCCCCCCCCCTCCTCCTCCCTACCCGATGGAACTCTTCAGGCGATACTCTACCCTGATGCGCACCATAATGTGGACATTCTGAACGAAATTTGGATGCTCGGCTTATCTCACACCGATTTGTTTAACCTTCCTCGGCCCTTTCATCTTTCTTTTTTCGCTCTAGAGAATTTCTCACGTTTCTTTTTTTCCCGACATTTGCCCTAGTTCATGACACTTCCAATATCCCTAAGAACAAGGAAATCTTCACACGTTCGAAGTGTCATCTCTTTCACTGCGATTAGCCAATTAACTTCTTGGCGACTTTTCCATAAACGAACAAGCGATCAATACCTTCCTGGAATGCGCCATGAACTAGACTTTCATTCGCCATGGTGGGGTCATTTGGATTAGGGTGCACAGTGGTTGAAAAATCTTCAATGGGATGGAACCAAGCTCATGTTTGAGTCGCGCGGAGAGAGTGACGCATGCGCTCTTTGAATGTGCATTAATCTGAAGATTGAAAGAAATTCGGGGGAGGGGGGAGCGCGGCTGGCAATTTCCTTTTAATAATTGTAGGTAGGAGGCAAAAGTGGTGTAGTAACAAGTGGCACGCTTACCACGCGCTCGGGGTTCATTCCCGGATCGGCTCTTACCCGGGGCAACCGAGCCTTCCTATACCCGGTCGCTAAATGGGTACCAGATTGTCTGGAGGATAAAATACTGGCTTGGTACATCGGCAGGCGACGAAGTCATAGCTAACCAGGCCCATCGCTATTCGACTCTGATATCAAGTAGAGCGCCTGTGCGCATGCCAAAAAGGAACTGATGAACGGCAAAGCCTTCATCTTTTGTTCTTCAGGCTGCACAGGTACAGGGCTTCAGAAGGGAGGGTAGAGTTGAAAGGGCTCCTGTCAGCGGTGCAATGTGGGAATCGTGCTTAGCCATTCCCAATAAAAGTGATTATGATCTGAGCACTATATTAGGCAACACTTTTCTAGACCTACTCTGAACACCCAGATTGCTCTCTACCTTAATAGCTCCCAGACGATGCTGTTTCTGTAAGCCGTCCCGGAACACGGGATTTGATTGGAGTGGTGTCGCAAACATGCATTTGATTACTAAACCCCTTTTACAATGACAGCTTTATCGCAACTATCCTTATGCATTCTTCAAAAAAAATGCTCAGCATGTTTCAGAAAGCCTCCAGAGCCGCCAGCAAGTGAAAAAGTTGCCCAGAAGGAGCCAAAGAAGGTGGCCGAGCCAAAAGTAACCGAGTCGGCTAAAAAGGCGGAAGAAGCGAAAGTGCAGGAGTTGGCTAAGAAGAATGAACCTGCAGCGAAGGTTAGCTAGCTTATTTGTGAACTTGCTGAACAGAGTCAGCTGTGGTTTTCAGATGCCACCGGCCAGCACTGCTGGAGCCAAGGCGGCAGAGGATGCTAAATCTAAAGTGCGTTCTATCTGCACCCTTTTGTTCATCCTGTTTATTATCTGTTTTTTATTGAGCTTTTATTTAGTTTCTTATGCGCATCGGGGTATATTATCCTTTAAAAAAGTCTCATTCCGTAATTACGTAATGAACATGGTAGAACAACCACCGTTCAAGAATTAAATATAAAAAAGGCCCACCCATTCTGCCAACCCGGCTACACAGCAAGAGCCCATCCTTTATAGCTCTTGATGGTTCGCGCTGAAGACATGCTGCCGAGGCGAGCTGCTTCCCAGCATCGTACTGCTAACTTCACCAGGTGGAAACGGTAGTCAGGGCATGTCGTGCGTTGGTGTTCCCCAGCGATGGGGTGGGGGGAGGGGGTCGTATTTGCTCGCTGGAGAGGGCGGGGTCGTATTTGCCTTTGTGGGAAATGTTCCTGTTGATGACTTTTCTTGATTTCTCACGTTTTACTTGCATTTTCATTCCCCCCCCCCTCACTTCTGCGACGACTACTGTTCGAGAGAAACGTGGAGAAGGTGGAGAATTGTCGGAAATACCCCGAAGTGGAAAGAATTTGGGAACATAAGAAGATCTCACGTAGAATGGGGGACTGAGAGGTGGATAAAGGAAGGATGTCTTATTTAAGAGTAATTTTCCCCAACGATAGGAAGTGCCGTGTTCGTTTTTGGTCAGAAAAGAAGAATAAAAAAATTAGAAATTTTCCGTTCGTTTTCTTTTTTCTGTCTCGAAGGCGCTTTACCTCTTTAGTCAACCTCAGTCGTACTATTTTCGAGAGCTGATCAGGGGGAGAGACACTACTGTCGATGGACTATGGGAGGAGAGTGCATGAGGGAACTGTCGCATTTCTTTCGCCCCCCCCCCCACAGTCCATCAAACGGGTACTGGTCAAATCATTGAATACGACCCTTCAGATATGTGCTTGAGAATTATAAAGAAAATGAACCAGTTTAAACCACTTGTTAGACCTTTGAACGGTTTTCTTCCAATGAAAGCCCCTGTTCAGGTGGGAGACGCGAAAACCAAAGAAGCGCCTCCCGACGACTCTAAAACAAAGGTATCGCTTAGACAGTTGACATTCTATGAAAAAGCTTCTATTTTCGAATTTTCAGATGGTCACAGATAAGAGTGGAATTCGTAAATCTGCACTTAATATGACAGAAGAGGATGCAAAGAAGAAAGCGGCAGCTGATGAGGTATGAACTGTCCCTTTGACCCCTCCCCTCACTCTCATTCCCACACAGTCGACCTTTCCTACGCTCCAAGGTGGGGGAGGGGAGGGGGGGGGGGGTAAGAGTGGGGAGTGAATGTCAGATATCGACTATATAGGCTATCTAACACCCTGTTCACTGATATGACACCTTCGGCTCCAATTTATGTCACTTTTACCGAAATCGGTATAGACCAAGGCACCAAAGCTATGTGATGCCCCAATTATGGATATGACATCAGTTTTTAGCGCCAGCATCATTTGGCCTCAGAACAACGAGGGCGTCGACTTCACGACTTTCCAAAGTCGTCATAATTTTCAAAGGCTGAGCAGGGGAGTGAGGGTAATTCCCTCCCCCTTAACCCTCTTTCCCTGTCCCTTTCCCCAGTCTCGTGATCAGCAAATAATTGACAACTATAGTGTCCTACGTTAGCACTTGTGCTAAAACACTCTCTCAATTATCAGGAGGCTAAATCACTATAACACACTGTTTGCCTGTCTTGGTGAAAAAGGTGGTGGCGCCTGCGCCAAAAAAGAATACAGGCATGATTCCTGCAAGCGATAGGGCGTGTGACGCGGCGCGTAAACCGATAGGGCGCTCCAATGCGCGCCACCTCCCACACAATATTGGTGCAACAATGACGTCATCTTAAGTCCGCTACCACTGGTCTCAATCTCTTTCACCGTGCCTACTTTCCATTTTTCTCTACGCCCTCACGTCCACATGATATTTTTGGCCATCGAGACCTTACATATTCCAGCTTTTCACACGTAATAAGTGCTTCCTCCCTTCCGGGGTCCCTATCCCACGAGGAAGCTCACCCTCTGGCCCGCGATATGTTTTCCGCGCCTTTCAGTGCTTTGGCTACCGCAGTCCTTCTTCTTCGCGTCCTAGCCTTCCGCGCCAAACCCCCACAAAAAGTCTAGTTGTCACATATCTGACATTGTTGGGAAATGTGCCCGGAGTGCGCTGTAAGCCGAGCCGCTGTCCTACGCTCTATCACTTGCGGGGATCGTGGCTGTATTAGCGAACGGGTTGCCCGAGTAACCTATGGGCAAATTTTCAGGAGGAAAAAGTTTTTCCGGTAGCAAAAGTTGAGTATTGCTGAGAAATGTAACCGAAAATTGTTGTCTAGGAAGCAGCGAGACAGAAAGCACGCCGGTTTGGAACAGTCACTTCACTGATGAACCGATTCGTTGAACCGGAGATTAAAGAGGAACCAATTACGTGAGCTATTTTCAACCCAAAAACTGATCCCTTGGTCCTTCAAGAGGTCATACGATTCCAGATACAAACGATCATCCTTCTTGGCAGCGAAGGATAAAGAGGTTGAACGGCCAAAGAAGAAATATGAAGTGATCAAGCCGGCTATTGATGACGCCTTTGACAAGCAGGTGAGCCCTCGACCCCCTTTAGCCTCGTACCGGCTCCTTGTTTTGAATTTTCGAATTGAATCTTCAGTGCTATATATTTACAGATGGAAGAAATCCGGGCGCAGATGAAAAGCGGTTCATCGCAGTTTGAGAGTCATCTCAAGGATCTTTCGAAAGGGATCACGGTCAGCGCTGATGACATGAAGAAGCGTACGGAAGATGAAAAGAAAAAAATGATCATGGATTCCGTCACCGGAGTGTTTAGGTCGGTCTTTGTGATGTGAAGCGGTGCTGTTCGCTTCTTTTATTATCTGAGGAATATGCGGCTTTCGTCTGCTATCCCTTATAAACTTCACCTAAAATCTCTCTTGAAAGCTTTCCAATCAAAAGTGTTCACGTAAGTTTCTTTTTCTGTTTCTCAAGCGTTCCTAAAACACAATGCCATCAGATCCCGGAAACTGTAGGCTAGCGTATCTTGTTTAGTGGACCACTCTTCTTCAATTTTACTCTTCTGTTATTCCCTTCCTTGCTTTCTCATCCCAAATTTTTGGCCCCGTCCCTCTAGCCTGCATTATTAAAGACAGTGGGTTCAATAATTGTTATAGGCGCAAAATTGAAAGCGGCGTCGTCCATTATATATGATTTGCTACGTTTGGTTGTTTTTGTTTATTTGTTTGTTTGTTTGTATGTCTATCAATCTGCCCGGAATTCGGATTCCATTTGGAGAACAACTTGGAGAGGTCAGGTCATGATGTGGATGGGTAGGGCATGGGACAAGACATAAATAGCACGCGTGATCTATGCGAAACTCCGTCCACAATGGGCGGGGCGTACGCCCAAAGTTCGCGGATCGCAAAACAAAAACTCATGTTCGGCGCCAGAACAGCCTCGAGATTGGGAAAGTGGAATAAGTCTAGCAAGGGGGGGGTCGAGAGGCTCAGTGGAGAAGGCACACCCGAAATGGGGATCGTACATGACAAGAGCCGTGCTTCCGAGCAGTCAGCAACTCGGTTTTGAGGAAGTTCAGACATCGCAAAAGGTTCCTGGGGAAGTCGAACAATAGTCGAGCATATTTGCGGTGCGTTGAAGTCAGCCTAAAAAAGGGCCGTGTGAGCCCTCGAGCACGAAGTGTTAATTGAAAAAATGTGGTTTATTTCTAGAGCACTACAGAGACCGGAAAAATGATTATGGTCAGTGAGGGGTCACTGCCTTGATAGTGCGAAACACCTGTTGTGGGCGGAGCGTTCTACGAGGCAGGCGGAGCCAGGCTCAAAATCCGTAAAACTGTTCCAGGGCATCAAACACTGGCGAGTGAGCAATAGAGAACCTGTGAGCACTGGAGAGCCTGCTTGGGGTGGATGCCCCGCTTAACCTTCTAAAATGGGACTTCTCCTCACGGCAGTCACCCAGTACTGTGTGAAGTGGAATTTTATAGAGAAACACTTCACCGCAGCAACTAATCTTTTTGACGAGGGCAGTGAAGTGAAGGGGGGAGGGGAGAAGGGGGAAAGACAATTTGGCACGCAGGTGCATCTCTTGCTACCCGTCAAAAGTATGACTGATCCACTAAGCCAATGCTTTCAATAGCCGAGGACGTGCAGGGGTTGGCGACTGGTTTTAAGATCGCGTGGGATGGAAACAGGGTACACCATCGTTGTGATCACTCACAAGGGGTCGTATTTGATCGCGGGGGGGGGGGTCGTATTTGACCGCGAGGGAGGGGGTCGTATTTGGTCAGTTCACGGACGCACTACTATTTCCGACACTTGAAAATGATAGTTTAATTCTGACGACCTCCCCCCCCCCCCCCCGCTCGACGGCTCGGTTCGATGAGGAAGGACAGAGGGCTGGGAGGGGGGTCGTACCAACTCCCAAAAGGGGGTCGTATTTTAGTATGGAATTAGGGGGGGTCGTAATTTTCAGAAAATGATCACAACGCGATGGCGTGCCCTGGTGGAGAGGAGGAAGAGGCGGTATTTTCCACTGCGTCGGGGGTCTCGACCATGGTTTGTCTTCGAAGATGTGTCTCTCCTTTTGCGGAGGCGAGTGTACCAGTGGAGTAAGGTCTGATACGGTGTGTTTCTCTACAATGGGTTGATGAATGTTGGATCCATTGCTGTCAATTCGCTGTGCCACGGCGCCACTCATAGAAGATGATGACCCTAACTTGTTCTTTTGGAGTTGACATCGTGCTTACACCCGAGAAATTATATTCCTTTTGCGGAGGAGCTCAGAAAATGTTCTACATCATGGGTATCGATCAGAAACCGAGTGTTCTGAATTTTACAAAAACCCTGTCATGATACAGAGCGTTTGGGGAAATCTCGCTGATCATGAGAAGCGCTCCAAAATGACTGCTTTGGAAGAACTCAAGTTTCACGTTTTAGCAAAGCCGATGAGGAAAAAGCTCGATGGAATAAGCGACGAGAAGAAGAAACAGAAAAAGAACTCGCCAAAATAGAGGCTGACAAGAACTTGAAAAAGAAGACAGTGGTTCAGAAACCAAAAACGGTAAGAATCTATCGATGGTTCAGGCTAGGTAGGATCTTTGTGTAATTTGACGCTATATCGCTTCTATTCTCAAGGAGCCCGAGAAGCCGGCAGAACCAAAGCGAACAGTACGAAAAATCGTCAAGGATAAACCAGGGACTACCGAGCAAGCAGGTCAGTATTTTATATAGGTTCAAAAACAATCAACTCGAAGGTTTTATCATCGCTAGTCTTATGGGCGGGGTTGGACCCGTCACTATGCCTTCCTCATGGAGGCGCATTTTTCCTCACCGTTTTACCGCGGGGCACGCACCGTTGAGGATGACAGGTCCGCCCACATTACTAGCGTGGAATTTCCTTCAAATAACAAAGGCTTTCTTCACTATAAAAACCTAATGTAAATCGATCTGTTTTCTTCAATGTTCAGCTCCAGCGGCTTCTACTCCGTCGTTTGCAACAGTTCCCAAGCCAGTAGCGGCTGCTACTCCGTCGTTTGCAACAGTTCCCAAGCCAGTAGCGGCTGCCGCTTCTAAATCAGCGACGGCTGCTGCTCCCAAATCAGCTCCTGCTTCCGAGCCTCTCGTGGCAGCAGTTGCTGCAGCTGCTGCAGCTTCAACAAAACCTACTCTTCCTGCTACTGCCAAGACAACAACCGCTACTCCTTCCTTTGCTACCGAGCCGAAGAAAGTGGAGCCAACAGCTGCAAAGCCCGCTACCGCTGCAGCCAAGGTATTGCAACCCACAAGCAGGGTACAGCATCGTGATGTGTAGAATGGTAGTGTAGGTACGACCACCCCCACCTCGAGAGAGGCGTCAGTACGGCTCCCCCTCCCACCTAAATGACGGTCCCGGTACGGCCCCTCTTCTCCAACACCTACCTATCACTTTTCCACATTTCCCAGTTTCCACACAAAAGTTTTCCGTCGAGCGAGGGGGGGGTCAATAGGAAAAATCACGAAAAGTCAACAACCGGGGGAAATTTTTTTCCAATGCAGTAGATTTCTCCCAAAAGCCACATACGGCCTCCTTCCAAATATGACCCCCCTCCCCAACAGTAAACTACGACCCCCCCCACTATGCGTTTCGCACAACGATGCTGTACCCTACTGACAAGATTCTTTTGCCCTACCCTATCCAGGATTTTCGCTTTTTTTCAGCCACTGAGCACACAAAAGCCAACCATTCCCAAGAACGATGTCGTCATCAACGACGATAATTACGACTTGTTCCAGGCGAGTGGTTTTTCCAGAACGTTCCAGAACTGGTAGGCTCCTAACTAATATGAGATCCTTTCAAGGCAGCCACGAATGTTGCGACTAGACGTCGGAAAAGCCTTGCCGAATTGCAAGCTCGTAAGGAACAACAAGCTGCGGCTGCAGCTGCTGCTCGAACCGCTGGCGCTGAGCCGAAAGAAGTACGATATAATCAATTACAGTCGACTGGAGTATAAAAGCTATACTTTCAGGCAGCAGCTCCTGTAGCGAAACCCGGACCAAAAGGTGATGGTGCAGCAGCCACAAAAATTCGAAATGTGAGAGTTTGTCCTTTTTTTAGCAATGAAGCTCAAACACTTTAAAGCATACGACTATTTATGAATTCTTATATCCAATCAATCAAGCGGAGGACGCGTCGCGACCGCACGCGTGTGTTATGCTCAATTTCTCTCCTACAGCAGTTGCTTGGGAACGCCGACATTATTTTTTTTCTTCAAACTAGTAATCAGCTATCTTTAAGGCTCTTGCTAACGCAACAAATGTTCGCAAGCAAGAAAGTCCATCTCCGAAACCAGAAGGCGAGAAACAGCTGAAGAGATACGCAACCCGCCGGAAAACTCAGGAAATTGTGAATGAATCTGCTGAGCCAAAGGTGCGCGAGCCAGAGACTGCCTAAGTTGCATGGATTTCTACGATTGAGTTTTTTTTCAGATAAAAAAGCGAAAGCAGATGTATAAACGGAATCGATTTATCCGCAATCCGCACGATATCGATGTGTTGCTCGGATGGGACAAAGAGAACACCTTTGAAAAGGTTAGCCTTTTTCAATTATCCCTAGACTTGCTCGTACAGCGGTTGTTAGGGCTGATTCCGCCATTTTTGCTGCATACCATCTGTTGGGTCAGCACCTCTTCTAGGAATAGATTTCAATGCCAGCACTCCATACTCGATTAGATGGGCGTGCGTAGTAGCTCCGACATCTTCAACCGTGACCAGCGGTGCCGCTTTCTGGAGGATATCTAAAAAAAAAAAAAAAAAAAAAAAAAAAAAAAAAAAAAAAAAAAAAAAAAAAAAAAAAAAAAAAAAAAAAAAAAAAAAAAAAAAAAAAAAAAAAAAAAAAAAAAAAAAAAAAAAAAAAAAAAAAAAATGAAAGGAAAATAACAAAGAATTAAGAACCAAAAAGGAATGTATAGTGCGAAGACCGGTGATAGCTGTCTGTAATCGAAGGTAGAGGGGCGCACTACCTGCTCAGAAATAGTAGCAGGGATGCTGCATAGTGGGGAAAATGACGTAAAAGCGAAGTTGAACAGCCGAGAACCTACGAGAAGCTCGGCTCCGCACGGCAGTGGGCGAATATTTTTGGACGAGTTTCCCGTTGGCATCGTGCAGATGACCGCTTCCGGAGGTAGGGCTGCACATCTGTATTCACATGTCCATTCATATGCTTCATATCAATTGTGCTCCATAAACAAGGCGATCACTGTCGTCCTTGGGACTGTACGGCCATTTGTGGGCGGGCAATTGCGGTGGGCGTCTGGGTTGGCATGTTGCGTTTCAAAGTACGTTGCCCACCCATCCCC